CCACCACCACCGTCCCCACCACTGTCCCACTGTCCCCACTGTTCCCACCGCTGTCCCCACTGTCCCCACCAGTGCCCCCAACAGTGTCTCAATGCCCCCACTGTCCCCACCACTGTCCTCACCACCGTCCCACTCTCCCCACTGTCCCCACTGTCCCCAACACTTTCCCCCTGTCCCCTCTGTCCCCATCACGGTCCCACTGTCCCCACAGTCCCCACCACTGTCCCCACTAAGTTATCCCAAAGTTCCCACCACTGTCCCACTCTCCCCACTGCCCCCACTGTACCACTGTCCCATTTTCCCACCACCGTCCTCACCACCACCCTCACCCCTCCTCACTGTCCCCACCACCACCACCGTCCCCACCACTGTCCAACTGTCCCCACTGTCCCGTCCACTGTCCCCCCTGTCCCTACACCACCGTCCCCACCACCACCGTCCCCACCACTGTCCCCACTGTCCCCACTTCTATCCCACTGTTCCCACTGTTCCCACCATTGTTCCCACTGTCCCCAACAGTACCCCCACCAGTGTCTCACTGTCCCCACCACTGTCTCCACCACTGTCCCCACCACGGTCCCACTCTCCCCACTGTCCCCACTGTCAGTACCAATGATCCACTGTCCCCACTGTCCCCACTGTCCCCACTGTCCCCACCACTGTCCCACTGTCCTCACTGTTCCCACCACTGTCCCCACCACTGTCCCCACCACTGTCCCCACCACTGTCCCCACCACTGTCCCACTGTCCCCACTGTTCCCACCAATCTCCCCACTGAACCACTGTCCCATTGTTCCACCAACGTCCTCAACACCGCTCTCACCACTGTCCCCTCCACTACCGTCCCCACCACTGTCCCCACTGTCCCCAGTCCCCACCACTGTCCGATTGCCCCCTCGCAAATGTCCCCACCACCACCGTCCCAACCACTGTCCCACTGTCCCCACTGTCCCCACCACTGTCCCACTGTTCCCACTCTTCCCACCACTGTCCCCACTGTCCCCACCAACACCCCCACCACTGTCGCACTGTCCGCACTGTCTCCGCCACTGTCCCCGCCACGGTCCCACTCTCCCCACTGTCCCCACTGTCCCCACCACTGTCCCACTGTCCCCACTTCCCACCACCATCCCCACCCCCGTCCCAACCACTGTCCCCACCACAGTCCCCCATCCGGAGTGGGGGAGGAGAGGGGGTCGATTCCCAGCGGCGAGGAGGGGGGGTGGGGTTCGAACTTGCAGTGACCCCCCCACTTTTCATGATGGACCGGGGGAGGCGGACGGGGGTTCGAACCGGTAGTGACCCCTCCCGGTTTTCGAGGGGGGGGCGGGTTGGAAACCCCCAGTGAACCCGCCCCCTGGTTTTCTGCCAGCAGCGGCAGAACACGCTCTTTCTGATATTAGCGCCACGCCTCCGACTGGCTCCCTCAACGCATCCCTCCCTCAGCTCTTTCTTCATAGCCAGCTAGTCACAAGGAGTCATACTCATTCAAGGTCATCACCCATAGCCAGTACTTCGTACTCAGACCAAATCGCGCTCCGATCAACAATATATCACACCTGCGATCAGGCCCCGATCAGACCCACCTGTATGTCGGCGCTCGTGATCAGACTCACTCACCGCCCAAGTCAGACACTCTTACCCAGAGCCCCACATACCCAACCGCCCAGACTCAGACACGCATGCCCATTCGTTTGCCACGAACCCTGAACAAGTGGATGTAGTTCCCAGTACTTTGAATAATGTCTTGTTGCTCTCCATTGCATCAATGCTGAGTTCGTGTTCCCCGTACCATCCGTGTGAGGGTAATGCTTTCTACGCGTCACGCATCCACATCCTGTTCCTTCCCGCATTCGTGCCGTCGTGTCCCATATGCACATTCGATAAATACACGACCGCTCAAACTCAGACTCACCCACACTCAGACAACATGGTCAGTCGCTCGTAACCAGAATCGTGCAGAATCAGACCTACTCACGCAACCGCGCTCAGATCTACTTGCATTCACTCAGGCCGCCCGCAATACAGCAGGCATTGCGCCAGGACCTCCTCAGGGGCAGCGGTCAACCAGGGTTGTCTCACGAGCCCAATAGCGCTAAAATTGGTGGACCTCGCGGGTGGAGTGCTCGTTTGGACGCATCAGATTTGGGCCATGAGAGGTGTCGGCCATGTGTGTTTCACGAACCCGTTCTTTCCCAGATTGGCGGGATGTCTCGAGTAGAACGCTTCTTTTGGGCGGTGGGCGCGTCTCTTGCCGGAGCCCCCAGAGTCTTCGGCAAGCATCGCGCTGGGGCCTCCCAAAGGGGTGTCGAACAAGTGATGTTTCACGGCACCGTTCGCGCCAAGATTAGCGAGACCTCTCAAGTCTCGTTTGGGGCAGTCGGCGCGTGCGTCTAATTTCAATTCACTATTGACGCCGCCGTGGGCCTCCTAAAAGCGAAGGGTGTCGCCCACGGGGGCTTCAAGAGGCCATTCGCGACTCATTGTTGGGACGTCTCATGTAGAACGCGCGTTTTGTGGTCGGCATGTCTGTCTTCAGAGCCCCATGGTCACCAAAAAGTAGCAGGCATCGCACTCGAGCCTCCCACGGGGAGGCCGACCAGGGGTGCTTCACGGGATCGTTTGCGCCAAGGGTGATGGGACTTCTCAGGATGAACGTTCGTTTGACAACAGTGGACGCCTCGTACTGAGCACAATTGTGACCACGACGCAGCAAACATCGCACCAGGGCCTCCCAAAGGGGTGCCGACCACGGGTGCGTCAGGGGCCCGTTTGCTCCCAAGTTGGCAAGACCTCCAAGGTAAAACGCTCGCCTTGGACAATGGGCGTCATCCTTCTCCTCCGCCTCCTCGCTCCTGCTCGCCTCTCCTGTCTACGGAGGGCGTCGTTTCTTCAAAGTTCGGCGCTCGTTTGAGCGTCGCGCACATTATTTTTGAAAGGTTGCAGCAGCTTGAACGGTTCGTATGGTTGATGTCCCACGACTGGCGTTCCGGTACAATTTGGGGCTGCCGGGACGCAGCTGTCACGTTGATACGCAATGTTACAATCCCAGGAATGGTGACCTGCCACGAATCAGAAGTGTGAGAGCGCAGGAGTCATGTAAACTCGCGGCGATCAAGCCCCCAGAACTACGTTTTGGCACGGTTGGGTCTTTTCTTACGGCTGTCTTCCAGTGAGGCACTTCCCACATTGAAGACAGATTCTCGGAGGGACCTATGAGCAGGTACCTCGGAGGGAAGGCGTATTCACAACATAGTTGACGCGCCTTGGATTTACACAGATCCTCTTCTCCATCCTCCTGTTCCTCCTCCTCCTTCTCTTCCTCCTCCTCCTCCTCTTCCTCCGCCTCCTCCTCCTCTTCCTCCACCTTGTTATCATCCTGCTCGTGGCCCCAGGAAACCACAGGCGGGCCCCAAAAGGCCACAGGAAACTCCATGGTGCTTCAAGAAAAACCAGCAGCCCGCAGGAGACCACAAGGGGTTGCCCGAAGCCCCAAAGCACCACAGTAGGCTGCAGGCGGCTACAGGCGGCTACAACATACCCCGGGAGGTCCAAGGAGCATTCACGCTCGGTTGCTCATACCCACACTCACTCACACTCAGAACCATTCCTGTCCACTCCTGCTCATACTCGGAAGCACCCAAAATTGGCCAGTCATACGCACACCCACTCCGAACCAGGCTCTCGCATTCAGACTCGCCAACACGCAACCATTGATACCCAGACTCGATCATTCTCGAATTAACTCGTGCCCACTCCCGCCCACACTGAGACCCAAGTATTCTCATATCCACGTATATTTAGAGGAACAAGAACTATGCACATACACCAATTCTGGCCAGGCCCATCCTGAGCCCAGGATCGGTGCATACGCCCTCCTACCTTGGCCAGGAAGGCATATGCACCGATCCTGGGTCAAGGATGGGCCTTGCCAGGATCGGTGCATGTGCATAGTTCTCTTCGCCCGAATATTCAAACACGTCCATACCCAGTCGTTCCTGCTAAGACTCCTTCTCGCGCAGGCCCAGTCATGGAGGGCGCGCCGCTGGGTGCCCCAACGGGGGGGGGGGCGGGGTCGGACCCCCCCCTTTCCCCGGCCCGTCGTCGGGGACCCCCCCTTCCCCTTTCCCGCTCCGTCATCGGGGAACCCGCCCACAACCCCCCCGTTTTCTCAGTCCGTCGTCGACGAGCCTCCCCCCCTTGAAAAGGGGGAAATGGGGGTCCGGACCCCACCCCACCCCCCCTTCCTTTCGGAGTCACAATTCGGACCCCCCCCTTTCCCTCTTTTCCGCAACGCCGCCCACTGGCTCCACCAGAACCCGACACCTACCACCCCGAACCCTAACTCTTAAGCTCAACCCTCACACCGAGCCCTAATCATAACCTGATCGCTACACACTACTCATTACTTACCACTACTCGCTGCCCACTACTCATTCGGCACGAACTCGAAGCCCCGATTGGCGCGATTCTCGTAGTGGAAGATCCGCGTGGCCGCAGCGGTCGCGCACGAGGCCAGAGAGCCGAATCGCCACTCACTCCTCCCTCCCCACTACTAACTACTCACTACACACTATTCACTACTCCCTCGTCCATCCTACTCACGACGTGCTATACACCTCTCAAAACTCACTTTTCACTACTCACTACTCACTTATCACTACTATGTGCTCACTACTCACTGATGACGACGCACTACTCATTCTTCACTACCCAGTGCCCACGAGTCACTACTCACTAGTCACGAATCTCTTCCCACTATTCACTACTCACTTCTCGCTGCTCACTAGTCATTACGCATTACTCAATACCCGCGTTTCACTACTCAAGACTCATCATGCCCTACTCCCTACTCACTACTCACTTCTCGGCACTCCCTACTCACTACTCACTACTTACTACCCACTACTCACTACGCACTCGTGACCATCCCGACTACACACCATCCACTACTCACTACTCACGATTCGCTACTCACGACTCACTACGCATTTCTCACTCCGCACTACTCTCGCTACTCACCACCCAGTACTGACTACTCACGATTCACTATTTCCTACTCCGTATTCGCTACTTACCACTCCCTACGCACTGCACATTGCTCAATACTCGCTGGTCACTACCGACTACTCATTGCTCACTACTCAGTCCCCTCTACCCCCTACACACTACTCACTACACACTACTTGACTCACTACTCACTACGCACGACTCACTACGCACTGCTCATCACTCACTACTCACTGCGCACTATTCACTACCCACTACGAACTCCGAACTACTCACGACTCTCTACGAACTACTCACTACTCACTACTTACAGCTCACTACTCACCATCCACTACTGACTACCGACTGCTGACCACTCACTACTCAATACTCCGTACTGACTTCTCACTACTCACTACTCACTACTCAGTACTCGCTATTCCCTCCTTCCAACCCTCACTATTCACTACTCACCACGCAATACTCACCACTCGTTACTCACGAAGAGCTGATCACTACGCACAATCCACTTATCCTGAATCACTACTCCCTACTTCCTACTCCCTACAAAACCCTCACTACACACTATTCGCTACTCACCTTTCAATACAAACTACTCAGTATGCACTACTCACTACTCAATACTCGCAATACTCGCTACTCCCTGCTCACTACTCACTCCGCAGTACTCACTACTCCATGTCCAAACCCACACACAAACCCTTACACCCTGACCCGAATCCTCGCTACCTAACATTGACCGTGATGATACCCTAGCCCAATCGCCTCGACCCAAACACCACCACCCTAGCTCAGTTCCCCTAGCCCCAACACCCTAGCAGTAACACTACAACCCTAACACACTAACCCTTTCGGTCCCCCCCCCCCTTTCCAGCGCAAAGCGGGGGTCCAGAACCCCTCTCCCATGTCAACGGGGGGAGAGGGGAGGGGTCCGAAAAATTCACCCCCACCATTTAACGGGGGGGAGGGGGGGGGTCTGCGAGCATCCCCCCTTTTGAATTACCAGGGCACCCAATGTCGGGCTGCCCCAGTCATGTTCAGCCACTCGTACCCCGACTTGTTCATACCCGTACTTGCTCGAACCCAATTCAACTCATTTCTTCCGTCGGAGCGCGGCATAGGCGATCCGCACGCGCGCTCGAGTTGGCCCGGAGCGGACAACCGAGTTGCCCACCGGCAAGAGAGGAGAAGGAGGCGGAGGGCTGCCGCAGAGCCAGGAAAACGAGGGAGGGCACTTACTGCGCGAAGATCTTCGTCAGGAGTGGCCGGTGCGGCCAGCCCGTGCTGAGCAGCCTGAGAGTGGTCGCGGAGCGGCATCGCGGCCACACCCAGGGGCTGAGGCAGAGGATGCAAGCGCGGAAGGGGTAGCTCGAGTGGTGGCAGTACGGGAGGAGCGGCAAGCGGATCCACAGCTGCGAGAGCGGAAGCATCCGAATGTTCCGACGTGTAGACGTAGGAAACAGCCTAGGGCATGGCGCGAACAGGATACGAGGGTCGCAAGAGCGACCGTTAGGGGCTGGGTCCGCTAGGCCGAGCAGCAAAATGCTGTCGTGATGCCTGCCAGAGCGGCTGAGCAGCAGGGCTGTAACAACTGAACTGCTGCTGAGCAACTGGTGCGGGGCCACAAGCTGCTGAGCTGTGGGTGACTGAACAGCCAAGGTATGGCGAGGCAGCCCCAGCAATTCAAGTCACACTCAGACCCACCTATACCGAATACCTCAAACCCAGTCCATCGCACTCAGACTTTCACACTCAGACTCACTCATACGCACTCACTCGTATGCAGCATCACTCATAGTCAGACTCACGCCACGGTACTCATGACAGGGGTGCGTTTGTCCCCGGGCTTTTCTTCATCAGTATCCTTAATACTGGCTTCGCACTGCATTCCCATTTGGCGTACGCGTATCCTTGGGCGGCATAGTAATGTGGGCAATTGAGGTGCACTTCGCGGACAGCACTCGAGGTCATCAGAGTGCGCATACCTACTCGTGGTCTTGTCGTTATCCCCCGTCCTTCCCCTCAGCAGGAATCAGGAATCAGGAGCTGGATGTCAACGCATAGCGGGCACTGCAGTACATGGCGAACAGTGGCACTACAGTGCGAGAAGCATCGTTTGGAAGTGGATTCCACGCTCGCATCGCTGCCGCATTCTTCGCAGCGTGCTCGGAACAACTTGAGGCCTCGAGGGGCGCGAAGATGTGCTCGGCACCAAAAGGCTCTGTGGCACTCGGGGACCCTTGAGACGCACGGATGTGGTCAACGCCGAGAATTCCGTGGCACGTTGAACCTTGAACAAAACATGTGAGACCGCTGGAGACCACCGTTGCGACTCGACTGGGGTGACTCTATTATATTGATGAAGATGTTGAGTCCGGTTCGACACTCAATATTTACAACAGTCGGAGAGTCTCAAACTGGCGCGAGCGCGGGGCTGCCGCCGCGAAGACGCTCTCCATGCGGCGCAGAAATTAAATCAACTGGTTCGTCCATGTCGGCTACGCATGCGCGCGTTGTGTGATGCGCCTGCTGGATGCCATGTCGACCTGAAATGCTTGAGAACGCCAAGATGCAGAACATTACACTTTCTATTTCCAACTTTTTTCTCAGCCTGCGTGCACATATCCCTCACGACATCTGCGACCCTGGCGCCGGGAGAGTACGCCGTCGCCGTCCTCGTTGTCCCCTAGACCCCGACCTCTCTCGGAGCGCGTGATGGCAACGATTCCGGGACACACACGCCGTGGCGACGAGGGCCGCCCGAGTCCCAAGACGTCCAAATCGTCGTCGCCGACGACGACGACGTCCCGACGTCGCCAGGCCTGCAGAGCGAAGCAAATGCGCATGGCGCGGTCCATCGTCGCGGCGAGCCGCATCGGCGCGAAGGGCGCCTGGGTGGCACCACACGGCTTGCCCATAGCCCGCAGCCCAGATTCCCCTCCTTCCCCTTCTCCACCCTCTACACCTCGTCCTCCTCCTCCTTCTGCCCCCTCCTTCTCCTCCTCCTCTTCCACCTCCTGCCCCTCCTCCCCCTGGCCCTGACAACCTCAGAAAGATAAAAACAAGGCCACGCAAACGCAGACTCTGCCTCGTTTATGGACGCGAAAACAAGCTTGAGCTCGCAGACGTTCTCACAAGCACAGAACAAGATTTACTGCGCAGGTGTGCCCTAAAATGCAGCACCAAGCCCACGAGCGACACCATGAGCCTGTGTGCAGCGTCTGCACACAGTACGAACCACAAAAGCACCAGGAAGCCTAGAATGCCAACACCCATGACGCATACCTTCGAGAACATGCATAACATAAACAAGCAAGACCACCAAACACACCAACAGTCATGAGACCTGCATTTTTCAAGCATGAAAAACACAGTAATCTCTCCGGCGCCACCAATCGGAAACATCATATACAGGCACGGCAATAGCGCACAATTGAATGTCGGAGTAGCCGGAGTAGCCGGCCTGGGAAATGAGTCCCACGGACTCGCCCACGAACATAATAACCAACAAGTACCTGGAACACGAGGCTCACGACGCCGCACGTTGTGAACGCCCGCCCATGATGCCCCCGACCCTCAGCGGGTGCCAGTAGACAAACGTGTAGACAGCAAGCTCCACGATCAGGCTGTAGGCCAATGGTGAGGAGCTGGGGCCCTGAGGCCAATGAGAAAACGTATGCAAACCATTGAAACCGAAACGCACGTGGTGCTGTGAAAACGTCGACCGCGCAAGTGAGCGCTGGCCACGCCCATGGAAAAGAGGTGTGCTAACAGCCCCGCCCCACCTGCAACCAATCGAGACAAACATACGGCAACAAAAACGGAATTCCAGCATGAGCAGAGCCCCCAACGCCGTGTACGAGGTAGACGACGACGGAACACTGCAAACCCTCACCCGCCCACGAAGCACTGGTGCAGGCTGGTGCGAGGCAACTTGGCTTTACCCCATCGTTCACACGATAACAACAACATATGCCAAAGTCGGGGAAAACGAATCCTGCGGACACCTGCGGGTATTCCGTCCATCGGTGCCCAAGCGAGCACGCCATGTGGTGGTTCAGCCTCAGGTCCTGCGCACGTGTGGCACCAGGCTTGAGCACTAAGTTTGAGCCAGTGGCACCTGCCCTCCCCCTCCTGACCCACCTCCTCCTCCTCATCTTCCCCCTCCTCCTCCTCCTCCTCCTCCTCCTCCTCCTCCTCAGCCTCCATCCGCATCCTCCATCCGACTCGACCTCCTCCTCTTTCTCCTCCACCTCCAGGCGTTGACACTGCAGCTGGCAGGCTGCCAACACGCTCCAAGCGACTGAGCAATTCCGACCTACCAATCAACCAACTTCAACGCCTTCGAAGCATCAAGAAAGGGTCGGTCAAGCAGACCACACCGCCCCACGGCGCCGCAGGAGTTCATGTCCGTGCACCAGTGAATAAAGAAACCCAAACACGTGCTCCACGACATTGATCCCAGAAAACTGCACAACAAGGGCAACCCGCCATGCCCGTCTCATGCACTACCAACTGCCCAAGACACAAAGGTACTTCACCACCAGCGGAACCGAAACGACCAAAAGAGAAACTACTCCCATGAATTCCAGGATCTTTCGCACAAGCACACAGAAGTAAACCAGGGAAGGCAAATCCCACGGACACCCAGCAACAAGGCGAACGATAGCTAACACATCTCCTGCAACACTGTAGTGGGGCAACTCGTGGAGGCCGAGGTGCCAACTCCACCGTGCACGGACGGTGCGAACACAATTTAAAACAAAAATGAAGCACCAGCGAATTGCCGATGGGACTGCGGCATCGCACTACAGAAAAATGTGACGGTGGCTGCAAGGCAGGCACGTAATTACCCGTCTCCTTCTCTACTTTCTCCTCGTACCCCTCCTTGTCGATCCTTCTTCCTTCTAACTAACTCCCCCCATGTCGCACCACCAGACGTATCTGTAGGCTGGGAAAGGCGTCCCAAATTGCCTTACAACTTCCGGTCCGGACGTCTTCAAATACTCGAAACGGCTGCAAGGAAGAGGGCCGCTCGTTGTTCAAAATAAGGCTCTCGCGTTAGCACCGCGCACATGCGTTCAACAGTTCCCAACACATGCAAGGATGGAAGGCTGGTGGCTTGCCTTAGTGCCGCGAGCAATCGTTTAAACTCCAACACTTGCAGGTATGGAGGGCGGGCGGTTTGAGGGCAAGTGGTTTTCTAATTGCAGTTCTTGCCGTAGCGCCGCGCACACTTGATTTGAAAACATGCGACAGTTACAAGGATGGAGGCCCGTTCGTTTCCAATAAGAGGCTCTCGCAACGGGACCTCCACAAATGCTACGACACGATATTCCAAAATGTGCAACAGCTGCCAGGCGGCTCTTCTCTAAACTGGCGCTATCGCTGACGACTTCTTTAATAACCGTAACATCGAAAAATACGGAAACCCAGATCCGTTTAAACGCGAGGTTGTCGCTGAGCACTCATTTGAACGTTCTAAACATCCACCTTTACGCTCGTTGTAGCTATGAGGATGGAGGTGGGTCGTTTACGAGACGAGGTCTCACCTGACTGTCAAGCCCACTAGGCGCTCGTCATTCACGGGGGCGCTTCCCGCAGCGAAAGGAATACGTTGGGGAGTGATGTAGCATTGCTGACGCACCCTGGGTTTGCTCTGGTCCTCCTCCTCCTCCTCCTCCTCCTCCTCCTGCTTCTCCTGCTCCTCCTTCTCCTCCTCCTCCTGCTCCTCCTCCTCCTCCTTCTGCTCCTCCTCCTCCTGCTCCTCCTCCTTGCTTTCCGCTCCCACTCCCACATCCGTCCGTGTCCTTTTCCTCTTCCGTCGCGGCTCGGATCCTGGCCAGGGTGGCCGCCTCGACGTGCAGGGTGCACAGTGTGGTCAGAGATCCTTCGAACACGCCGGCACGGTCTTCGGACGCGACCACCTCTGCCTCCCCCGAGGCGGGGAACGAGCTAGGAGCGAGGAGGGGGAGGAGAGCGGAGGGAGGAGAGCCGAAAGCAGACCTTCGACGTACTGACTTCCTGACCCGTAGGCCCCTGGAGCTCGCGGCACCAGCTGCAGGATCTGTTTTCCGCCGCCGGGCGTTGAGGGGGGGCAGGCAAAAAGGTGCGCATACAGCTGCTTCCCAAGACCTCCCCTGGAGATCCCGACGCGGATCCAATCGCAGCGATGAGGGCACCCCAGGAGGCCCAAGAGGGCGACAACAAGGGAAGCGCATCGGTATCGATGCGCGCTCCTCCTCCGAGACTGGCCCCCGGACGCCCGGACGCCCCGACACGGGACAGGAAGCGCCCCTTGCACTTGTCTTGTTCTGCGGCAGACCTCTATCGGCGGCGAGCGAGGGGGGGAAGTGAGAAGGAGAAGGCCGTCTCGGAAGGCTCTTCAGAGAAGTTTTTGTTGCGCCTTCCCCGAAGACACAGAACACCTCCCAGAAGGCGCGAGGGCTTCTGAGAAGCCCCGCCGCCTTCTGAGCATGCCTTCTCCTTCTCACTTCCCCCCCTCGCTCGCCGCCAACTCGAGGCCACGGGCGGGGCAACTGCGAGAGGGCGAGGTGGGAACTGGCAAGCGCCGCCGGTCAGTGCGAAGGCGCCTTGGACGCGACGGCAACGTCTGGCGCGACGGCCTCCACCTCGCGGCACCGGTGGCCACCACAGCGGCGGGCGCGCCGTCGTCGGGGCTGCGAGGACGACGACGAGCACGAGGACGAGGAGCCGAGCGTGGAGAGAAAGATGAGGAGGAGGAGAAGGAGGGCGGCGACGGCGACGAGGCGGAGGAGGACGACGACGACGGTTCTTACTTGTGGTCTGAGGAACTGGGCCTGCGCGGCTGTCTGGAAGTCATGTGGCCGCCGTCGCCGCCCTATCGCCACCTCGTCGCCGCCCGTCGTCTGGACCTGCGCGTCAGTCTGGCGGCCATGTGACCGCCGTAGCCGCCCCCTCGTCGCGTCGTCGCCGCCTGCCGACTCGTCGCCGCATTGCTTTGCACTGATCTGCATTGCTTCGCATTGCTTTGCGTTGCGCGTTGCATTGCTTTGCGCCACGTTGCCTTACATTATGTTGATTTTCATTGCTCCATTTGATTTACATTGTACTGCCTTACATTGATTGCGCCGCATAGGTTGCACCGCACCTATTGAATCACATTGCTTGCACCACATAAGGTTGCACGACACAGATAAAGAGATGGCACCACACCTATTGCACCACCTCTAGCGCACAACATAGATCGCACGCCATGAACTGTACAACCTATATTGAACAGCATTGGTCGCAACACATAGGAGTGCACCACATAGATTGCACCGCAAATGTTGCTATATATCTATATGACACCGGAGAAGAACCAAACGTATGTTTGTTGGGGCTATGGGGCTGTAGGGCTATAAAGCTATAAGGTTATGAGGCTATAGGGCTATAGGGCTATTGAGCTATTGGGCTATGGGGCTACATGGCTATAGGGTTATAAGGCTGTAGAGCTATAGGGTTATAGGGTTATACGGCTATGGGGCTATAGGGCTTTAGGGCTATAGGGCTATTGGGCTATAGGGCTATAGGGCTAGAGGGCTATAGGGCTATGGGGCTATAAAACTATAGGGCTATAGGGCTATAGGGCTATTGGGCTATTGGGCTATATGCTATTGGGCTATTGGGCACCCCGGGCACCCGGGCACCCGGGCACCCGGGCCTGGCCACCGAAATCGGCGACCAACCTCACCTAAACCTTTAGTCCGCTAGGACCCCTACAGAGGCAAGCTCTGATTGGGGAATAGTGTACAACATATGTTTGCTAGAAACGCACTGTTTGGGGTCAACGCTGGCTAACATTCACTCGTGTTGGGCCTCCGGGTCGCCACGGCTGGATCCGCCTGGACATTCTGGTCAGAGCGCGCTCTGAGAGAGAGGTCCAGGGGTCGCCAAGGGTCGTCGTCGTCGTTGTCGCTGTCGTCGTCGTGGTCGGCCGTCGGCCGTCGGTCGCCGGTCGTCGGTCGTCGGTCGCCGTCCGCCTCCTCCTCCTCCTCCTCCTCCTCCTCCTCCTCCTCCTCCTCCTCCTCCTCCTCCTCCTCCTCCACACAGGCCGCTCCCGAGGGCAACATACGACCCAGACGCGAAGAGGACACGAAATACGAGCGACATGACACAAAGGGAACCCTTGACTTTGCAGGCCCGCCCTACCGATCAGACCCGGCTGTGCTCCGTGGGGCCCTGCACCGAATGCGGACACAATGCGCCCTCCGCCAAACAAAACAGCGCCCACGAGCGAGGCTTTGAGTGGACCAGCCTAATCTACCCAGGGCCCAAGCGCTCCGACAGAGACAAGGAAGCGAACGGCCAGCGATGAGAACGTCGTTGACAGAGCGCCGAGCAGCCATCGGGAGCCCAGCCTTGAGATCTAGGTGTCTCGGAACCAGCGGGCGCCTGACCAGGCGCACTGCTGCGCGGCAGTCGGCACGGTGCCCCACGTCATGTATCCCTTACCCCTAGGCAGGCAATTGGTCCCACCTGTCCCAGCTCCTCCTGTTCCTTCCTCCTCCTCTTTCAGAAACCGGCCGCGGGAACGATCAGCTCAAGGCGTCAGCCTCCAACTCCTCCTGCTCCTCGCGCTGAAAAAGGGAGGAGGGAGGTTCAGCTCGACTCTGTCAGTGGATGGTCCAAGCCACCACAGTGTAGGGAGGAGGGGAGGGGGGAGGGAGGCAGAAAGAGGGAGGAGGCATGGGAGAGGTGGGAGGAAAAGGGGGAGGAGGGAGCGGGGTGGACGGAGGAGAGGAGGAGCGTGCAGGGAGGAGGCTGGATCGAGGAGGGAGAGAGGGAGAGAGGGATGTGCTTGACTATACGCGGCCACCCGGGATTTTGCAAACACCGCGCCTACCTTCATTCGTCGAGCGCGGTGTGCCAAAAGCATCACGCGGTTTCTAGCGATCGCTCACCAAGGAGCGTTGGCACATCATGACGCATGCTTCTGTGTATGATGCTGCAGACTGGTAGTTCCTGTTCGTGGTAGACGTTCTAGGGACAGGCGGTTGAAGTAGATTCGCGATGAATGGTATTGACGTGCGCGTGCTTCTGACGCATGTAGTTGACATGCCTACGTGGATAGTAAATGTCACACGTGCCTGTATGATGTAGCTTATATTGTGAAGCTGTCAGACTCATTGGTGTTCGCTGACGCCGAGCCATTTACTTATAAGATGGTCTTTCCATAGCTTGGTTGTCTCGTGGCGTCGTGACTCCTACCATTCCTGCTCGTCGTGGAATGCGTTTATCATGTTGTCTGGTTGGACTGGTCAAGCTGTGTTATGGCAGTACTTGCTTGATTGTGAAATTCGGCTCGCCTGTCATGTCTTTGTCCGCCATGGTTGCTGTCAATTCCGAGTCGCTCGTTGCTGCGTTTGGCTCTCGTCAGGCCCGAGTGACGTCGTGACGCCTGTCATACCTGATACGTAGTCTAATCGGTTGTTGCTCCGACGTCTGCCATGCCTAATACGTCGTCTAATGTGTCGTACAATCAGTCAAGCCAATCTGACGTCGAAACGCATACCGCGCATAAGGAGCCGCCGCTTACGTGCACTAATATACTTCATCGCGTGGTATGTCAGTGTGTCTCCTCTGCGTGTGCGCCGGTGCGTACCCGTTGTCTGTATGATAGTTCGGTACGGCATGTATGTATGCATGTATGTGGCTGTGTATGGTGGTTCTATACGTCCTGTACGTACACATGTTCTGTATGCATCGTTGGGATGGCGCGACTTCGTGCCGCCTGCCGTGTGTGATTCATCATGGAATGAGTATGCGAGTATATCGTACCAGAGTCCATGACATGTTACATGCCTCCTGTGTCAAGTCTGATCGTTTGCTGTTGTTCCGAACTGGCATTTCGCACGTGCGTTTTTATGTTTGAAAACTCCCCGAGCACGAGGTCTCGAAACCAGGGGACCCCCCCACCCACAGAAAAACAGATTCGCAGGGAGCCCCACAGCCCAAAACTCACACCCCCATCCCCGTCCCCATCCCCCCCGCCCCCTCCCCCCCTCGCAGCTCGATAAGGGGGGATGTAGTCCGCACGAGGAGGGATCATCTCCCCCCCTGGTACCCAAGCGCATGTGCATGTGTTTTACATGTGCATGTGCGCATGGAACATAGGACTGTCGTGTACGCGTTAGTGATTGCTGTTGTCCCTGCCATTTCTGTACGCATGTTACATGTGTCTCCGCTTTTTCTTGTGTAATGTGTACACAGACACGAGGAAGGATCCTCAGGGATCACCAGGGTTCTTGGGACCTGGCGGCAGCGGTATGCAGGGGTCGGGCAGTCTTGCCTTTGAAAGAAGGGCCCCCTACCTGCCTGGTGGGGGACTGGTGGCTCCAAGGTGCCAGCTGGCCTTTTCCACCCCTTTAGCACTGCAGCCCAGTTCCGCCACCTCTGCCTTTTTTTTTGGTTTTTTGATTTGCGCGCGGGTGATCGTCTGCCGAACACTCCTGCCCGTGGCGCCGAAAGCGATGCTGGCAAGACTGGCGACAGAGTTTGGAGCCCGCGTCCTGGCTCCTGGGCTTCCAGCCTCAACCTCTGGCCAGGCAGCAGCATACAGACATGACAAAAGCAGCACGAAAAGGATTACAGCGGGTGCCGCCGCCCATCCCCATCGGATGGGGGTGGGCGGCAGTACCGGGGACCGACCCACGTGGGGGCTGGAGGACCCACGACGACGGCCTGACCCACGTGGGAGTGCGTGATCCCCCCGCGTGAATCGAGCACCACAGCGGCGCTGCTCCCAAGAAGATACAGTCAGCCCGTCTCACAAGGATGCGCGGTAAGGATGCAAGGGCCTTGGAGGCCCACGTCAACGCTTTTCGAGCGTGGCTGGCCAGCGCAGGTCGCTACGGATTGGCCGAAGGGGCAAGAGTGCAAGGGCAGCCTTGGGAAGCCTGCCCATCCTTACTATGCGGGTTGACTGGAGTACGGGCGACGCTTCTCGCTGCCCGCAGCGCGCTGCGGCCTGCGACCCGCGCCAGCGCGTGACGGCACGTGCCCGCCGGACGGCGCGGACCGCGGGCGGCGCCAGGGCGAGAGGAGCCAGTGGGCCTGCGACCAACGCCGTCGCGCGGCGGCTCGGCCAGCGGACCTCGCCACACGTGACTGTCCTCCTGCACGCACCGATTGCGGCAAGAGGCCGCGACGCGCAAGGTGGCATGCAGGAGGAAAGAGCATCAGCGGCATCTGCGAACGCCGACGCGGTGCAAAGCAATCCCTGCCCCTCGCAGTAGAGGGGTCCAGCGGTACATCCTCTACTCATGCTCCTCCTTCACTCCTTTCGCATCGCCTTTCCCCGTGTCCCTTCCTCTTCCCCCATCATCATCATCATCATCATCATCATCATCATCATCATCATCATCATCATCATCATCATCATCATCAGCAGCAGCAGCAGCAGCAGCAGCAGCAGCAACATCATCAGCAGCATCATCATCTTCGTCGTCAGTGTAATCATCATCATCCTCATCCTCATCCTCATCCTCATCATCATCAGCATCATCAGCATCATCATCGTCATCATCATCATCATCCTCATCCCAATCCTCATCGTCGTCATCATCAGTAGCATAATCATCAACATCATCATGAGCAGCATCAGCCATGACCAACGCCTCATAACAATGGTCATCACATCATCATCCTCGCATCACCACCATATCACCATCACCATCAGCATCATCGTCATCGCCATCATGATCAACAACAGCATCGCCATGATCAGCAGTCGAAACATCATCAGCATCATCGGAAGCAGCATCATCATCATCATCATCATCATCATCATCATCATCAGAGGCAACATCATCAAAATCGTCATCATCAGCATCATCATCATGATCGGAATCAGCATCAGCATCAGCATCAAACGTATCATCGCCATCCCAACCATCCTTATCATCATCATCATCATCATCATCATAATCAGCATCATCATCATCACCATCATCATCATCATCACCATCATCGGTATCATCATCATCAGCATCGTCGTCATCATCACCAAACAACACCAACAATAACAAGCATCATCATCATCAACCTGAACAGTTTCATCATCATTGCCATTATCACAGTCATAAGCATAAGTATCATCCTAACCATAATCAGAATCATGGTAGAGATAACCAGCGGCAACACCATCGACATCGTCACCACCACAATAATCCTCATCCTCATCCTCGTCATCGTCATCGTCATCCTCGTCATCGTCACCATAACCACCACATGAATCGTCACCACCACCGCCACCATCACCACCGCCACCACAATCATCGCCGCCACCATCGCAATCACCACCACCATCACAGTCAGCATCATCATCCTCACCCTCCTGCCCATATTCGTTCTCCCTGCTCTCCTCGCCTCCGTCCCTGCGTCCGACCGTCCTCGCCTGCGAGGAGCGGGCGACGACGACGACGACGACGACGACGACGACGACGACCAGCGGGGCACCGGAGGGCGGCGCTCGCACCGCGCCTCGCGAGCCACGGCCGCGCACTCCTCGGGCGAGAGGCCGCTGAGCTCGGTCTGCGCCTCAGGGGACGACGACGATGACGTCGCGTCAGAGGTGTGGGGTTCGCCTACTCCTCCTCCTCCTCCTCCTCCTCCTCCTCCTCCTCCTCCTCCTCCTCCGTCCTCTTCCTCCCTGTCCTCCTCGTCCTCGCCTTCTTATCCTCCTCATCAACCTCCTCCTCCTCTCCTCCTCCTTCTCCTCCTCCTCCTCCTCCTCGTCATCTTCTTCGTCATCCTCGCTGATTTCGTCCTCTAACTCTTCCCACTCATAATCCCGTTCCACCTGTTCCTTCCCCTCGTGCTAATCATCATTAGCATCAGCAGCAACAGCAGCATCATCATCATAATCGTCAGCATCAGCATCACCATCACAATCATCATCATCATCAGCATCATCAGCAGCAGCAGAATCATCAACATCATCACAATCATCGCCCTCCTCATCCTCATCATCGTCATTATCAAACAAAGCGTCAGCTTCGTCATCATTATCATAATCACCAGCAGCAGCATTATCATCCTCATCATGTGCAGCATCAGCCATGGCCAACGTCGCATCACAGTGGCTATCACATCATCCTCGCATGCCCACCATCACACCATTAGCATCATCATCAGCATCATCAATAACAACATCGCCATCATCAACAAAAGCATCAGCATCATCAACAGTCACACCATCATCATTCACATGTTTGTCCGTCCCATCACGTTCTACCCAGCATCGTGTGCAACCCTGTTCTGGGTGGAGGCGACCGCGAGACTTCGCCATGGGAGAGTTCTGAATTGACTAGGGCACGATGCCTAAAAACCGATTATGACGTTTGCCAGCAGTGCTGCGTCTTCTCGAATGCAGCGTATGCCTGACTGGGCCCACCCGCTGGCTCAATGCAGCACCTTGCCAGTACCAGCGAAGCTCAAGAGCTGTATGGCGACGCGAGTGGCTCCAATGAAAGACCGTGCACAGCCAGAGAAGCCTGATGCAAATCTGCCGCAAAGGGTGCCATGAGTTTAGAGAGGGCCTCGCTACCCGATGCATCAGGAGTCCTTCCAAGCGGCACTTAGCCAAACTGTTGGCCCCTCCTGGGGAACATGTTCCCACCCCTCCTGCGTGTTGGGTCCTCGTGCTGTATCCGCAGCGCCGCGCTCCATCTCCTCCACCTCCTCCTCTCCCTCCTTCTCCTCCTACTCCTCTTCTTCCTCTTCCCCCTCCAGTAGTATATGTTGCTCCTCTGTTTTTTGCCCACGCACCGCCAACACGTATTCTGTCCCAATAGGAGGCTGCACATGTGGCCTCAGCGGGGTGACTGTCGGCGCACCCCTCACACGTTTACTGCCGAATAGGAGGTTCCACACATGGCCTCAGCGGGATGACTGTCGTCCCCCGCCCATTTCGGTGCAACCCTCACGCGCTTCCTGCCCCAATGCAAGGATCCACCTATGGCCCCAGCGGGGGTGACCACATTGCATCCCCCCGCATAAATCGGCGCACACCTCACACCCTTCCTGCCCCCATAAGAATCTCCACCTATGGCCCCAGCGGGGGTGACCACATTGCATCCTCCCGCCCATGTCTGCGCACCCCTCACACACTTCCTGCCCCCATCAGAAGCTCCACCTATGGCCCCAGCAGGCGTGACCACATGGCGCCCCATCTGATTTTGGCGCACCCCTCGCACACTGCCTGCCCTCCAAAGAAGGCTCCGCCTATGGCCCCAGAGGGGGGGGGACCACATGGCGTCCCCTGGCTCATTTCAGGGCACCCCTCATGCGCTTCGTGACCCCTATGGGGAGCTCCACCGGAGGCCCTAGCGGCTGCTTTCGTCGCATGGGGCCCCACCCCATTTGGGCACACCACTCACGCGCTTAGTCGCCACATGGGGAGCTTCGCCAAAGGCCCCAGTGGCCGTGTCCGCATGGTGACCCCCGCCCCATGTCTGTACACCCTTCACGCGCAGCGTGGCCCCATAGAGAGCTCCACCGAAGGAACTAGCGGCTGCGTTCGCACGGGTCCCCGCCCCATTGTGGGCACACCCCTGACACGTTCAGTGTGGTCTGACACTGTCGGCGCAGAGATCAAGGGTACCACAAGAGACTCGTGCATAGAGCGGTCCTGCTCATAACCCCGCCCCGTTTTGTGAAGAAGGTTGGGTTCTTCGTCAGGATCACTCGTGCCCTTCAGGGTTTACAAGCGCCCTTCAGGGCGCTCGGTACAAGTATACACCCTCAGTGTATAGCCACTGGGAGAGCACACGCATACCATATTTGTTCGGGTTTAATAGGCAAACTGAGGCGAACTACCGAGCGGGCTACAATGAGATAGTGCCTCGGCTAGAGAAACTCGGTGCTTCAAATTCGCGCTCCCGCTGAACTCACACTCGTCACTATGTCTCGACATGCCCCCCCCTCCTTCCATCGTTGAATTCCCCGACGCCCGTTTTGCTCTCACCCTTTCCCTCCATGGTATCGTAAGTCATGGTTGCCTTCCTCACCCCGCCCCCTAGCACCACCCCTCCCTCCCTCTGCAATCCCACCCCCGTCCTTTGCCATCCCATGTTACATCCGTCCCTCCACTATCCCTCCCATTCGCCTGCTCTCCCCCTCCCTCCAATCACTTCACCTCTATACGGCGCTCACTCCTCCAATCTCTCCATATCTCTCTCTGTCTCTCTCTCACTCTTTGTGTGTGCCTCTCCCTCCATCCCGATCCCTTCCAGTGTGACTCCCATATTGCTCACCTAATCCTTCTCATTTGCCCTCCCTCCCTCCCTCCACCCTCAACCCCCTACCTCCATTATAATCCGTTGCTCCCCCCCCTCCCCCAGCCCAGTCTGTCACACCCTCCGTCCAGGCTCTCCCTCCCCATTCGCCCTCCCTGCGAGTCCAGACCTCCGACGTCATGCTTTCCCGTGCGCCATAGCTTGCGGTCCTAACATGTGCGTAGGGTTTTGAGGCAAGAAAGGATGAAGGGGCCCTGGGACGCAAAAGTTACTCCGACGGTAGGACCCCACACGAGAATCTGTTTAGCTTACCCCTTGCCCTTTCCTCCTCCCCCTGGCAGACACCCTCTCCTCTCGCCCTCTGCACTGCCCTCTCTTCCGCATTCTTTTCCTCTTCCTACTTCTCCTCCTCCTCCTCCTCCTCCTCCTCCTCCTCCTCCTCCTCCTCCTCCTCCTCCTCCCCCTCCTCCTCCCCTCCTCCTCCTCCTCCTCCCTCCTCCTCCTCCTCCTCCTCCTCCTCCTCCCTCCCTCCTCCTCCTCCTCCTCCTCCTCCTCCTCCTCCTCCTCCTCCTCCTCCTCCTCCTCCTCCTCCTCCTCCTCCCTCCTCCTCCTCCTCTCCTCCTCCTCCTCCTCCTCCTCCTCCTCCTCCTCCTCCTCCTCCTCCTTCCTCCTCCTCCTCCTCCTCCTCCTCCTCCTCCTCCTCCTCCTCCTCCTCCTCCTCCTCCTCCTCGCGCCACCTCCTCCTCGTCGTCGCCCTCCCCCATGCCCCTTCCCTCCGCATCCTCCTGCTTCTTTTCCATGTGCACCTCCCGTTCCCCCTGGTCGTGGCAAGCAACTCGATGTTCCTCGGCGCCGTTGCCGCGTCGGCCAGCACGCGCGCGTTTGCCGACGGCTAGATCGCGAAGCCGTCGGGGCAACCCTTCGGGCCAGGCCGTTGGGGCAACCTCGCAGGCCGCAGGGGCGCGGGAGCCAGCCGTTGGGACAACCCCGCGGGCCTCTGGTGCGCGCCGCGGCGCTCAGGCGGGCGGCAGCACGAAGCCCAGCTCTGCCGCGAGCTGCTCCGCCTCAGCCCTGGAATCCACCGCTCTCTTGTCGAACTCCTGGAGCGCCTTCCGCAGTGACGCCGGCGGCCCGCGCTCCAGGAACTCTCGCGCGGGCGGCCGCAGGATCAGCATGTTCCGCATGCACGTGGCGCGGGAGAACATGACGTAGGGGTGCAGCCACCACATCTCGTCCGACATGCCCGTGCGGCCAGCGTCCTCATCCCTGGCGCAGTCGATGGTGACGCCCTTGCGCAGCGTCTGGCCCCTGCGACAGCGTGGAGGTCAGGTAGGACGCATGCGTCAGGGTGAACCCCGAGCGGCGCAGTGTGCGCCCCCGAGCTTTGCCACGTGAACTCCTGCTCGCTGGGCCTGAACATGAGCAAGTTCCTCGCCCGCGCTTCGGCCTCGCCGTCGTCGGCAGCGCCATCGCAAGGGCCCCCCCCTGCGCCCGATTCGGCTGACGATGGGTTACCACCGCCAGCCCGGAGACAAGGGGTTACCCCTGCCCCCGATTCGGCCGAGGATGGGTTACCACCCCCGGCCCGGGCGCAAGGGGCTACCCCTGCGCCCGATTCGGCCGCCGATGGGTTACCACCGGCGGCCCGGAGACAAGGGGTTACCCCTGCCCCCGATTCGGCCGAGGATGGGTTACCACCCCCGGCCCGGACGCAAGGGGCTACCCCTGCGCCCGGCCGCTGTCTCGTCGTCGTCATCGTCAGCTCCTCAGTCGCCCTTTCGGACGCCGCGGCCGTGGGGCGGCGGAACATCTCGGACCTCCACGCAGTCGCATGACTACAACAAGTTTGCCGACGACCAGCTCGGACGATGCTACCCGGACTTCTCAATCGCCCTTTCGGGCACGCAGGCCCATGGCAACAACAATTTTGCCCGCGATCAGTTCAGACAGACGAGACTCCCGCTTGGCAACTCCCCGGCATTCAGGCCGCAGGAGCGAATTCTAAAATCCGTCCTCAGACCTCCAAGTGACGACAGGAGACGGTCCTCTGACGGGGCTACCCGCACCGCCCACAAACAAAGTTTCCCCTTGATGCTTCCCCCGTGTTCAGGCCGCAGGAGCTGAGGAGCCCAAAAAGCTCCCTCGGATGACCCGCTCGGGTTCGAACATGAAATGCGTGCCCCATATGGAGGGGGCTCCCGCCTGAGACTTCCTCGCAATTCACTCACAGACGAGGCTCCCGCTCGAGACTTCCTTCATATTCAAGCCTCAAGAGCCCAAAAGCGACGACAGTTACAGGGTTCCGATGACCCGCTCGGAATAATTACATCATCAGCGGGCCCCATAAGGAGGGCGCTCCAGCCTGAGACGTCCTCGCAATTCACTCAGAGACGAGGCTCCCGCCTGATACTTCCTCCATATTCAGGCCTCAAGAGCCCAAAAGTGACGACGGTTACAAGGTTCCGATGACCCGCTCGGATTAATAACATGATCTGCGTGCCCCATAGGGAGGAGGCTCCCGCCTGAGACTTCCTCGCAATTCACTCACAAACGAAGCTCCCGCCTTATACTTCCTGCATATTCAAACCTCAAGAGCCCAAAAGTGACGACAGTTACAAGGTTCCGATGACCCGCTCGGATTAATTACATCATCGGCGGGCCCCATAGGGAGGGGGCTCCCGCCTGAGACTTCCTCGCAATTCACTCACAGACGAGGCTCCCGCTCGAGACTTCCTTCATATTCAAACCTCAAGAGCCCAAAAGTGACGACAGTTACAAGGTTCCAATGACCCGCTCGGATTAATAACATGATCGGCGGGCCCCATAAGGAGGGGGTTCCCGCCTCAGATTGCCTCGCAATTCACTGAGAGACGAGGTTCCCGCCTGATACTTCCTCCCTATTCAAGCCTCAAGAGCCCAAAAGTGACGACAGTTACAGGGTTCCGATGACCCGCTCGGATTAGTTATATGACCGGCGGGCCCCATAGGGAGGGGGCTCCCGCCTGAGACTTCCTCGCAATTCCCTCAGAGGCTCCCGCCTGATGACGAAATGATGAGTGAGCGAATGATGATGATGAGTGTGTGATGGATGAGTGATGATGATGATGAGGAGGAGGATGAGGATGCCGATGATGATGAGGATGAGGATGAGGATGAGGATGAGGATGAGGATGAGGATGATGATGATGATGATGATGGCCACTGAGTTGGTGATCGAGAGATTATGATGGAGATGGTGACGATGATGTTGAGAGTGGCGGCGGTCCTACCGTCGGAGGACCACTGCCTCCGAAGCCTACTGAGGATGAGTGAGTAATTGAGTGAGTGAGTGGGTGATCGAGTGGTGATGATGGTGACGATGATGATGAGGATGATGATGATGACTAGTGATGACGGTGATGGTGGTTGATGGTGATGATGATGGTAATGATGATGAGTGTGTGCGTGTGATGACGATGATGGTGGCTGATGGTGATGATGATGGCGATGATGGTGAGTGGGAGAGAGAGAGAGAGAGAGGAAAGGGTGTGTGTGTGAGATCCTGCGCGGCGTGTGCAGAGAAACCAAGAACCCCACTTTGGATGTGGGGAATAAAGACACACAAGTAAAAGGATTCCCCGTATCTTCCCATATGTTCTGAGTTGTTTGTCTTCCCCCCACATCCCATATGTTCCCACATTGTCCTGGGAGTCGACGATTCATTGTGTCTGCGTGCTTTTCCCCTCCTGAAAAGAGGATGCACGAACACCAAGTAATCGAAACGTCGGGAATACTGAGAATTGTGTTGAGGGCGCCCAGGCTCTGGGGTCCTCCCTCCCCTCCCATGCCTCCCCCTAGACGAGAGGAGGAAAAGGTGAAGGAGAAGGAGAGGGAGGTAGAGGGTCAGGAACAGGGGCGAGAAAGAGCATTGCAGGATAAAGTATCATCATCACCATCATCATCATCAGCATCATTAGCATCATCATCATAATCACCAGCATCATCATGATCAGAATCCTCAGAATAATCATCATCATCAGCAGAAGCAGCAGCAATGTAATCATCGTCATCGTCACCGTCATCGTCATCATCGTCATCGCCGCTACCACCACCATCGCCGTATTCATCAGTGTCATATTATCCGCATCCTCCTCCTTCTACTTATCATCCCCGACCTCCTCCGCATCATCATCATCAGCATCATCATCCTCAGCATCATTAGCATCACCACCACCACTACCATCGTCATCGTCGTCGCCGTTGTTGACATCATCATCACCATCATCATTATCATCATCATCATCGTCATCATCATCATCATCATCATCATCACCATCATCGTCATCATAGTCATAAGCATAATCATGATATGATTCATCATTCTCATCGTCGTCGCCATCCTCGTCGTCGTCATCATCAGCAGCAACAGCATCATCGTCGTCGTAGTCGTTGTCGTCCTCCTCCTCGTCGTTGTCGTCGTCGTCGTCGACGTCTTCGTCAGCATCCTCACCATCATCATCAGCAGCATCGTTAAGCTCCTCCTCCTCCTCCTCCTTATCCTCGTCCACACCATCACCTGCATCAGAAGCATAAAACACTATCGCAATCGACATCACAATAACTGTCACCACCACCACCACCACCACCACCACCACCATCGCCGCCGCCGTCCTCGTCGTCGTCGTTTTCGCTGTCGTCGTCGTCGTCGTCGTTTTCTCTGTCGTTGTCGTTGTCGTTGTCGTTCGTCGTCGCCCGCGCTGTCGCCAGCGGCGCCTCTGCCCAAGACTGGAAGCCCTCCTCTCCCCTCCCCCTTCTCTGTCGACCCGTCTCCCTCCATCTCTCCCTCCCTCCCCGTTTCTGCCGAGATGGGCTAGCGGGTGCTGGGCTTGGCTGGGCTGTGCTGGAGGCGGGAACCTTCGCCCCCTCTGGGTCTCTGCATCGCCGTCCTCGTGTTCTCGGAGGCCCCCGGGGCCCAACTCTTCCACAGCGTGCTCCCGATAGCTTTTCGTGGGCGGTTGCGGGCTGGTCCTGGGGGGGCCGCTTGAGGAGCTTGCGGTGTCCGATGTCCCTTGCTGAGAGGGAGAAAGAGGAGGAGGAGGAGGAGGAGGAGGGGGAGGAGGAGGAGGAGGAGGAGGAGGAGGAGGAGGAGGAGGAGGAGGAGCGGGAGGAAGAGGAGGGGGAGGAGGAGGGGGAGGGGGAGGGGAGGGGTAGAGGGGGAGGAGGAGGAGGAGGAGGAGGAGGAGTGGACGTACCCTGAGGGCGGGCCCCCGATGACCGCACTAGACGCGAAGCGCCAAACGCGCAGCACCAGCCATCCGCTCGGCTTCTGTATACGTTAAGTGTGCCCCTGGAGGCACGGTGTCTTTGGCTTTGTGGTAGATATGAAACGCTAAGGCCGTTGCCTCAAGCGTCTGGGCTCGAGTCAGCTCACAATCTTCCGTGCCATACTCCGAAGGGCTCCCGAGGCCGAGCCAAAGCACGGGCTCCACAGGAAAGACGAGCCGCACCCAACTCATGGCGACGTTGTGCCTCATTCGAGGGCAACGGAAGTAGTGGCTGATACTGTCGGAGCCTCCGCAACCAAAAATGCAATCCCGTGAATGCCGTGAGACATGCATCCGACACGATGTGGTCCACCCTCCCGCCAGGGACTTCCACACAGCCCATCTCCATGAGGGACGGACTGAGGTGAGCTCTGAGCGCAGCAGTGACCAACGAGCGCTGAGATCGGGCGGGGGTGGGATTTCCCAGGCTCTCAGACGGCGGCTGAGGGTCAGATGGAAGCGTTCAGGGTACAGGGCACGCGACACAACCGAACCGACAACACGTTGGATCTTCGGTTTGCGACGATTAACCTCAGCCGCTCTCGCCTCAGCTCTACCCTCCGCTTTAGCCGTCTCCCAGGCTCTAAGAGAAAGGGGGTGAGTGGAGCGAAGCGAGGAGTCACGACGCCTGACGACGACAGACGGGGAAGAGGAGAGGAGGGAGTGGAAGAACTGGACGATGGATTCCGCCCGTCTCCAGCACGGGGCGCACCATTCTCCAGCTGCCCACCGCGGGGCAGAGAGGGCAGGGGAGCCGCAGGCGGCGTCGGCGGCCTGCTGGAGCGCATCGTAGGCGTCCCTCCAGTCTGGGACCGTGTGCGAGGCCATTCTCCAAGCGGATGCGATGCCCAGAGCTACGAGCGAACGGGGAGACGACCCAATCCATGAGGCAGACAACAAATCGGCGAGGGAGAAAGTGTTAGGAGGGAGACGGAGCAACTTATGCAGAGCGAGACCTTCGCGGGCGATGGCACTGGAGGAGGAGGAGGAGGAGGAGGAGGAGAAGGAGGAGGAGGAGGAGGAGGAGTAGGAGGAGGCCCTCCGAGATACCCGGAGGTCCTCCGGGGCCCTCCGAGGGAGGCGCGTGGCCGCCCTCCGTGGTCAGCGGCGCTGCTCGGGGCTGCCGGGCGGCTCGTCGGCCTCCCCCGTGGGTCTTCGGGTGGTCTTCCGGGACAGCGGGAGGCGGCGCGTGGCCACCCGCCAGGTTCGCTGGCGGGCCTCGAGGTCCTCGGCGCTGGCGCTTCCTGGTCCCTTCGCGGTCCCTGTGGATCTCGGAGGGCTCCCCGTGGGCCTCGCTGTGGGCCTCGGGCGGTTCTGTCGTTCTCCGTGGATCGTCGACGGTCCTCCAGAGTTCTCTTAGGGCGGCGAGTGACTGCCCTCCGAGGTCGCTGGTGGTCTGCGGAGGTCCTCGGAGGTCCTCGGGTGTCCTCCGCCTCGCCCCTTGCCTGGTGGCCTTCGGTAATTCTCGGGGGCCCTCTCGGAAGGCGGCGTGTGACCGACCTCCGAGGATGCCGGAGATCTCGGAGGCCTCCCGGGGCGCTCGAGGACGCCTCTGGGGGTCGTCGTCGACGTGGGGGGTAGGGGGCTGGTGGCCCGCGCTGTTCCGCGGTGTCTGCTGGGTGCTCGTGCCGACTCGTCGCCGATGAGAGTGGAGTGCGCCGCCTTTCTTCCCCCTTCCCCTCCCTCTCTTGTGCCTCGTCGCTGTCGTCCTCCTCGTCGGGCTGTTCGTCCCCATCATAGGAGGGTCATGACACTGGTTCTGGTTCCTCGCACGGGTCGGCACCTGCGTCGAGCTTCGCCACGCGGAGAGGTAGGTCTGGGCAGGGCCCCCAGGCGTCGATCCCTGCGGGCTCCTGCTTGGACAATCCCGCCCCTCGCACCCCCGGGTGCGGTCGCATACACGTGCCCAGGGAGACTGTAGGTACGACCCTGGCGCCCCTCCGAAGACGTGTCTTGCTTGAGCTCCTCGCGGGTCCACGGGGTGCCTCTGTGAAGAGGGTCGTGGTGATGGCCCGTTGCCAGCTTGGGTCCACAACCCCACCGGGCGCCCTCCGAGTCGGGGCCCCTCGAAGCGTCCTCGAGGAGCCGGCCAGGGCAAGCGTTGTCGACAGCCGTCACGAGGGTCCATACTGGGGCGATCACTCTGGGGTCGCTGCGTGGCTGACCGTAGTGGAGGCCCTCGAGAGCCCTTCCTCCCGCCCTCGAGAGCCCTTCTTCCTCTCTAGCATTCAGGCCAGGGTTGGCGCTGGGCCAGACTAGAGCACCTCTGGGTTGCCCACCGCCTGGCAGCCATGCGAAAGAGGCCGTGCCCGCGGATTCACAATACGTAGATCCGAAAGGGTCCACCCAACCAGCCAACCTGTCCTCCTCCTCCTCCTGCTCCCCCTTCTCCTCCTCCAGCTCCTCCTCCTCCGCCTCCTCCTCCTCCGCCTCCTCCTCCTCCTCTTCCTCCTCCTCCTCCTCCTCCTCTCCCCCTCCTCCCCTCCTCCTCTCCTCCTCCTCCTCCTCCGCTCCTCCCTCCTCCCGCGCTCCTCCTCTCTCTCCTCCGCCTCCTCCTCCTGCTGCTCCTCCGGCTCCTGCTCCTCCTCCTCCCCTCCTCCTCCTCTCCTCCCTCCTCCTCCTCCTCCTCCTCCTCCTCCTAGACTCGACATTGCGGGCAGGTTCGATCCTACCCACCGACGGAAAAACCGAGCGAGTTACGCTCCCTCGCCCTCCTCCAGCCGCTCCTCAGCGGTGGCGGCGGCGGCAGCAGCAGCACGGGCGGTGGCGGCGAGGGCGACACCGAGCCGCTGCCGCCGCGGGCCCGCAGCAGCGCCCGCAACCTGAGGCGCTGGTGAGCCTGCGGGCACGGACGGGCCTGCGGGCGCAGGCGCGACAGGGCCAGCTCCGCCGGCCCTGACGAGACGACCTGTCTCCCAGGCCTGGCGCAAAGGGTGCCAGGCCTTGTTGATCTGATACCTCCCCGCCGCCAGCCCCCTCAAAACCCCCCCGCCCCACGAGGAAGGGAGAGGAGGCCCAGGGCAGGGGCGCGAAAGGGCCAGCACCGTGCCTGGCCCACTCGCTCCACACACAGCACAAGCGACGCACCACTGGCGTGTGTCTGCGAGCTGGAACGGATGAACGATGTGCTGCCTGCCACCTCCGAGCGCAACTCTGGCATGTCCAAGATCGGCAGAGAGCAAGCAAGGAGGCGTGACGAGGGGGGGAGGCGGCAGGACGGCCAGCGGCGGGGCACGGGGTTTCGCCTCGCGCCGCTGGGAGACATGGATGGAGTCGATCGCCACCATGCTGGGCCCAACTTTGGCCACCCAGGTGGCGAGCTCTGACAGAACCTGCGCACGAGCCTCCAGGGGTGCCCGAACCGAGCTGGGAAGGCGCGAGAACTCGGAGGCCTGCTTAGCATACTCATCAGCGAGATCATTCCCCGCCTTGAGAAAGGCCGAAACTCGGCGGCTCTCGACGGCAGCACGTGTGGCATGTCCCTTGACCTTGACCAGGTCGAAGCCCCCCACTCCTCCCCAGTCCGCAATCTTTTGCCACACCATGCGCCAAAGCTCAGCCCAGGCACTTTTTGCGCAGCAAGTTTTATCTGGGCCACGCTCGAGCACACCGTCCACTACGAAGCCAGAATCGCTGTAGAAAGTGGTGCCTGGCAGCGAGAAACGCAGGCCCTGCAAGAACGCCCAAAGCTCAAGGGCATCAATATCAGCAGCGGGATGCTGAAAAGAGCCTGCGAAGATGGCCTCGGCACGAAACGTGTCCTGGGAAACTTGAACGCAGGACCAGCCGAGGCCCTGCTGGGCCAGCGACAAAAACCCGTCGCGCAAACTGCCGCCCAGGAAAACATGGCCCTGCAGAAAACCACCCCCGAGAAGCCAGAGCCCTGGAGGCCGAGGTGCGGGGCCCAGGACGGGCAACGGCACTAGGAGCCGCTCGGCTAGCAGTCGAGGCAGCTCGTCCACGCATGCTTGCGCAAGACGGCCAGCGAAGGAAGGTGGCGAGGCTCCGCGCGCCTCCTCCTGATACTGACATGACAGGTGACGGTGCGAAAGCGTGCCAGGAGCCTCACGACACGCCAGGCAGAAAGACTGTTGCGAAAGATTGGCGTCATGCTGGCGCTGCTGTGGCCACTGACCGCCTGAAACAACACTGCGAAGATATGCTGCTCCCTGAGGGCTGACCTTTTTGCTGCGGGCAGCCTTCAGAACTGGATACAAAAGGGCCCCTTGGGCAAACTCAGGACACTCCAAGTGGTCAGCCACCCTTTTCCAAATCCACTCCCCCACCAACCGATCGAAGATCAGCCCCAGAGTGCGAGGGGAGAGGTCGAGAGGAGAGAAGTCCCCTATCGATGGGTGGTGCCACTGGAGGCCCTGCATGCTGATACCAAGCCTCAACGCTGAGGCTACACACGCGCTGAAGGGGCCTCGGATGCTCTGCCATGGGGAGGTGTGTTGCGAAAGCCTCCCCCAGGCTTCCTTGACCCCGCTGCGAAGGATGGGGAGAGGCATCCAGGAGTCCCAAACGGCGGAGGCAAGGGCCATCAAGGGACCCTTGCACAGCTTGTAGGCAGGGTCGACCTTGTCAACATCCGATAGAAGCAGCATGAGAGAGATGGAGCGCCCGTCGACACGGGCAGACTCTACCTGCGCCTGCTGATGACGAGCCTCTCGCAGCTCTGTGTTATTGGTGCCTAGGACCTGATGCCCGTACGACACGGAGGACAGAATAGCAGACTGGACCATGTGGTGCAGTTGCTTACGCTTCAACAGACGGCCGAACGTGAGCAGCTTACCGTGCCGAGCGCGTGCAGGGGGCATCCTTTCGTGCCTGACTTGGCGTGCAGCTACTCTACCACCAGAGAAATCGATGCCTAGATTGCGCTCGGTGGCGGCTCCCTGTATCGTAAGGCGCTTTAGCCGCGCCTGGAGCTTGATACGTAGATCCGCCGACGAGGCCACGAACTTACTCTTGGATCGCTTGATGCACAGGTCGACCTTAGCTAACTCGGCATGCACGAGTTCGGCGGCGCCCGACAGATTTTTAATTACGTGCTCCTCCCGACCACAGAGATGCAGCCCAAAGTCGCCCACCACCACACCCTTTTCGACGGTCGGGAAGGCACGACTGACTACATCTAAAGGCTGTAGCAGAACCAGCTGCAGCATGAGCGTGGCAAAGTGGCACCCTGGGATGACGGCCTGCAGCGTGTGTATGAACTCCGACGCTCTGCCATCTAGATCGAGAAAGCGGGGAGCACGATAGAGCTGAATTAGCAGTTTCAGCTGACGCAACGGGAAATTGGTGGCGATCGCTGCCGCCAGTAGTCTGGCATGCGAGACCTGCTCGAAGGCTTTCTCCAAATCAAGGAGAATTAAACCACTGGCGAAGCCACGGCCCTGGGCCCACTCAGTCTTCGCAGACTGGATCCAAACCAGTTTGTCTGAGCCTCGTCCAGCCGTGGCCCACCAGAAATCACGGAAGTTATCAGTCTGCCAAGCGCGCACGAGAGGCCTGCGGAGACGGCCCTGGACGCGCGCGATGCAGTGCAGAAGGCCGATTGGCCTGAGGCCCCCTGTGCGCTTGAGGAGGAAAACAATCTTACTGCACATATCTGGCCACTCGCAACGGTCCTCGATGGCCAGCACGAGCTGGATCAAAACCTGAATGGCCTCGTCAGGGAGATGATCGAACTGCCGAGGCGAAACACCGTCGAAACCGCAACCCGAGCGAGCAGGAAACGAGCGAAGCACCTTTCTCATATCCCTGACGGAGGGCTCGGTGAAAAGAGGCCCTAAATCCGCTGGCCACACAAGTGGCTCGTGGGGCTGATCCACCTTCCACCAGCGGCACCATTCAGCAGCGAGCGCCTCCATCTCCTGCTGAGGAGATGCGGGAACAGGGAGCAGAGCCCCATCCTCGTTGAAACGCTCCGTCGAGTGCCACGGGGTCCGAGAACGGGCGACGGCGAAGAGAGCCGCGGCTCCGTCGACCGAATTGTCCCGCACCCACTGGCGCCAGCCAGCGCTCTTGGCATTAGCCGCAATTTTGTGCTCTCGAGCCGCTCTGGCGCGAGCCCCAGTTTCAAAAACACGTGCCAGCTCATACGATAAATCTCTGGCCGAGCCCAGAGCGCACAGCCACGGACGCGCATCGCACAATGCGGATGTGAAGCGCACCTCTGCCTCATGCAAGAGCCTGTTACACGTGTTGAGCGCGCGCTGGCGCATCTGAGGCGAGTGCCAGAAGCTCAAGCAGTGAAAAGAGTACGCTACGCGCCCCCACCAGACGGCGAGGGCACTCAGTCGAGGAAAAGGTAGCCGATGGGGAGCACGGGACCGAACTTGATCGAGCTTCAGAGCCACACCACGCCCGGAGTGCGCATCTGCCTGCCGAGGGTCGATTTGGTAGATGTCGAGAAACTGCTGCTCGACCAGGCCGATGAAAGACGCCCACATGCCATGCACTGGTACGTCAGTGCGCGGTGCTGCCTCCTGAAACTGCTGCCAGCGCTGCTGCCAATCTTGCCTTTCACATCCGAGCGGCCGATCCTGTGGGAAGCGACGTGGTGCCAGGACGCGATACACCATGGCCTCGCCACGTGAGGCTTTGAGCTGCAAAAGGACTGGCTTGTGCGGCTCCGTGGCAACAGAGGGCAAGATACATATTTCATGGCCGTGTTGAAGCGAGTGATGAACCACAAAGTAGTCAAGACACTTACCTCCTCCAGCGTTCGAACAAGTGGGAAGCGACGGGGCCAGGATCACCGCGTCCAAGCTGTCAACCCACTTAGAGCCTCTCAAAATCTCTGGAACGATATTCCAATCACCTTGAATGACGAAGGGCATGTTGAACTCCTTTACCACGTTGCGTATATTGCATAGTATGGACCAGTTCGCCGCTGCCAGTCCAATACTGTGATGCAGATACACGCCAATCCATAGGAAGCCGCCTGCACACAAGCCGCCGCAGTGAAGCACCACAACCCGACCTGGCGCAAAATCTGCTGGAGTGACCTCCAGCTCGCTGAGACCAACGGCAGCCGTCATCATGGCCACCCCGCCTGAAGTGCCCTTGTCAGACTTTCGCACCGCTGAGCCGACACGCGCATGCCAACCTGCGCGCCGAAGACGATGCTCAAGTGCTGTACCGTCAAGCTGATGATGTTCCTGAACGCATACTGCACTGGCCTGACGAACCTCGGAATCAGCTAAGAGCTCATCCAAGCCCGCCAGCCCCGTAACGTTGGCCGTGACGATGGTGAAGCTAAAGACTGGACTCATCAGGGGAAGCTGAGCGAGCCTTCTTCGCGAGCCGCTCCTTAGCCTCATTGAAGATGCTGGTGGCCAGCTCATGCTTGATGCCGTGCTTGCTCTCCAGCTCAGTGATGAAGGAGTTGTCGCCGAGCGGACTGTCGAGCTCCATGTCGAGCGGCACGGCGCGGTCGAGCCCGCCAGCAGTAGCTGCACCCCCGCCTGCGGTGCCTCCGCCATCGGCGCCAGCGGCAGCGGCGGCACGCTCAGCAGGAGGCTGAGCGGGCTCAGCAGCGGGTGCAGCAGCAGGAGGAGCGCCATAGCCGAGGTCATTAGCCATGTCCTCCAGCTGCTTGATGAGATTGTCGTACTTCTCCTTGTCTGGGCCGTCCTCGGCTGGTGGGCCGGAGCCGCGGATGCCCTGCGCCCAGGCGTGGAAAGCGGCCTCGCCCTCGGACGGCTGGGCGGGCGCGAGACTGCTGAAGGCCTTGGCGGCTTTGGCGGCCGCCTCGTCGGCGGCAGCCTGAGCAGACTCCATCTCCACCTTGGCCAGGGCAGTGGCCTGCATGGCCTGGGCGAGTGAGTTCTGCGCCCGCTCGTACTTGGACTTGGCCTTCTCGAGCTTCTGCTGGAGGACGTCCTGCTGGATGCGCGCCTGCTTGGCGCACTCCCTCGGCTCGCCCTGCAGCATGGCGCGCGCCGCGCGCACACGCCCCACCACGCGCGGATGCCAGCCGTCGGAGATGGCATCGAAGTCACGCGGCGCCATCCCAGCGAAAACCTCGATCTGGTCATCACTGGGGTGGATGGGTCCATGGTACCGCGGCACGTTGTTGATCGGGAGCGGCCGCTGCCATGAGCCTCGCGGCGGTGGAGGGTCGGCAACGACTGGCTTCTTCGGTGCCTGGCCGCACATGCGACACGACGTGCGCCACGCATAGTTGAACTGATAGCCACACTGCTTGGAGCGAGGACAAGACCAAAGATTCATCTGGCCCACTGGCCCAGTAAGAGGTAAGTGAAGGCGAGGTAGTGCAGGCGAAAAACGCGGTGCAGTACCAGACTCTGGTGCGCGAGCGGGGGCCGCAACAATCCCCCACGCCAAAAGCCAAGATCACTGAGCCACAGCTACGGACCTTGAGCCAAAATGGCTACGGACCTCCTCCTCCTCCTCCTCCTCCTCCTCCTCCTCCTCCTCCTCCTCCATCCCCCCCTACCCCCCGCAGCAGCCGCTGGGCCCCGCGCCAGGGCGAAGACGAGGGCACGCAGGAGCCGATCCCACCACTCGGGCGACACCTGGGAAGGGGAGGGAGGGTCGTCACGGTCGTCCTCTAATGCAGCCGTGCGCCGCCCTCTAATGACTCAACATCAAACTCGCATTCCTATACGAAAGAAAGCATCAATCAAATTCTTATGACTACCAGAAAGAAGAAGAGGAAGAAGAAGAAGAATAAGAAGAAAAAAAAAAGGAATAGCAAGGAAGAACCAGCGGAGCAAGGAACGCTTGGCCTCCAGCTCCGCCTCATCGAACGGGCCAGCCTTTGTCCCCTGAGGGCATGGACAAGGTCTGCCCTGTTCGATGAGGCGGAGTAGGGAGTGGCGAGAGAGACGCGCGGGGGTCCCTCCTTCCCAGGACTCCTCGCGTCACGACGGGAGAACAAAAACGACAAACAACAGAAAACGTTTGGCCATGTTCGACCTAAGGGACCGTGAAATAACTACTCGGGATGAACAAATGTTCTAGAAAGAGGGGCGGGAGAAAGGGGAGGGCGGGAGTGAGCAAGCAGGAGGACGAAGGAAGGCATGGCTTGTTTCTGTGTGCTGGTTCACAAGAGCCTAGCCTTGGGGCCACAGAATCTCGCCGCGGAGCTCTAACCATAGACTCGACAGACTCCATGGGCTCAGGCTGGCATGGATCTAGTCTGTTGTAATTGCCACTGCCATTGCCGTAGCACGCTGCACAAACGTACAGCATCAACGCAGTTCTGATCAGCAGGTGGGCGTCGCACCCAAGATCTACAACTATGATGTCGGGCCCTGCCGAAAGCAGGATAAGCTCATGAGCCATGCATTGAAGTTTTCAGGAACTCGTGGGCTTCCACTGGCGAAAGCTGCGGATGCATTGGTGCTCCTCTCTTGGCAGCCGCACTGGTAGCATCTGTGCCAGCCGTGCAGAAACGCTCGAAGCCAACTGGATGTTCATGATCGACCATGCGCCTTTTGATGTTGGATTCAAGCATGAAGAGGGTGCCCGGGCATATGTAAAGCATGCCCGCATGGGGCTTCGATAAGACATAAGCATGGGCAAGGCAGGGCGAAAGTTTGACCACTTTGGCGCGATCGTTATGCACAGGCGAGCCGAAATCCCGATTCGTGTTATCTGCATCGACATCAACTCACAAAGTGGTAACGGAAGCGAACGCCCCGTGAGAGACTCCTGCTACAACCTCTGCTTCATGAGATTGAACCGCCACCACTGTCACCACCAAGAAAGACAAAGACACCTCCCCCTCCTCACTTTCATCCCCCGCCTCCTCCCTATCCTCTCACACGTGGAGGGGCCGCCGAGCCAGCAAGGACGAGGGCGCGCAACGGGCCTTTTTTTGCGCGTAGGCTTCTCAGCGCACCAGTCTCGACGTCATGGCTTCACGAGGGCCACCCCAATGTGGCCGAGAAGACGGGGTCGGGGCATCGCACCGCATCGACGCATCGGTGATGCATCGGCTACGTCACGACGACGAAGATCAGGCTCCAGATCGCGCCGCCGCACAGGTGCATCAGCCTCTTCCGACCCGATTTGCTCGGGCCGCAGTTGGACGGACAGGACTCTAGACTCTACAAAGTCCACGCAAGATTATAACAAGCGGTGTCATACCCGGCCGGGCCCAGAGAGGGAACGACACGGGGGACATGGTCACAGACGCACCCATTATTCGAAGATTCCTCCAGGCGTGGGTTCTGAGAGCCACGCGTGTTACACTACATCACATGTTTGCCAGTGCGGACTTAAGACTGTGGGTGTTTGCACTGCTGATGTGCGCTCTGCGTGGCTCTTTCTATGTGGCGCAATGCATGGAATACCAAAACTGTGTTCAGGCTATGTGCAAGCCAACGTGGTGCAACCGACGCCGTGCAAGCAGTTGGGATGCAAGATACGCTGTGCACACTAAGCGGCGCAAGCGATGTGGTGAAAGCTGTATTGCGCAAGCTGTTGAGGCGCACGCTATTTAGTGCAAGATACGCGGCGCAATCTATGTGGCGCATTTCACCTGCGGAATAGCTAACGTCAGCTCCAACGCTCGCACAAATATCCCACCCTCCCAAAGTGTTTGGCAAAACCCGTTCGGCTACGATTGCGGCTGCCGACTGGAACTTACTAGAGCATCTCTACGGCCGGACTACCACGCGCCCACTCACGCGCAGATCAGCCAGCTGGCATGGCACGAACGATGCGGCCGCGATGGCGCTTACCGACGATTGCGTCCCAGCGCGTCCAGTGCTGGCGCGCGGGCACTTCAGCGCGGGTCGGTGACTCAGGCGGGCGCGAGATCACGATGACGTTGGCAACGGCGACGACAAAAAAAGGACAACGACGACGACGACGACGGATGACGGATGACGATGGCAATAAGGCCGCTGACGATGATGATACGGATTGCGCCAATGAAGGAGATATGAGAAAGTGCATGCACACAGAAACCAAAGCACCCCGACATGACCTCGACATTCGAGCGCGGAAACGTTCGCATGTGGCCCAAGTGGTATTGGTTGACAGAGCTAGTGTGCGCACGATGGTCGTTGAACTTGTTCGACATGCTCACTCACGTTTTCGACATGCTCACGCGAGCGGCCCGGAAAGTCTGATTTGACAGAATGGTACAAAACCTACAGTTTCCTGAAGGTTCCAAAGAGCACGCGCAGAATTCTGTTAACCTGTTCATCGGGAATCCCACAAATCTGGTAGTTGTTGACTAGACACGGCTTGAAATTGTTGAAACAGCATCGGCTCTTGACGGAATGTGACATTCTCGCACGGCGGCGCGCGCATGTGCCCGTAACGCTCTTGCTACAGGACATGTTTCGGAAGAAAGAAAAACTTCTTCGATCAACGCATGTGCACCGCAGGTTATGGCGGAGGGGGTCGACACCCGCCTGGCTGGGGCTGTATGATTTCAACGTTTGGGGAGAAAGGAGGGATTGCTTTCTTGGAAACTGGATTATCCCGAGAGGAGCGGCGAACCCCAAACCCAGCGAACCCAATACTCGTTGCAAACATCCTACGCTCCCATCCGCAACTTGTCGGCAAAAACCACGTGGACATGACATCCAAGAGATTACGGGCGCGTGGAACTCAATCGTGCAGACAAGTCCGTCCTCCAGGTCGCGATATGGTGGTGGCTATGATGATAACCGCCACGGCAACGACGATGACGATGACAGTGCTGATGACGCCGAGGCCGATTGCGATGACAGCCGAGATGGAGACGATGTCGAAGACGACAATGGAGATAGTGATGAGCTGGTGATGACGCTAATGACGGTGGCAGCGATGACGCTTGCGATTGATACGCCGATGGTTCTGGTGATAATTATGAAGACGTGCCCACACGCAGAACTTTGACGAGGACGACAACCTCGACGATGATGACGACGACGACGACGACGGCGGCGGCGGCGGTGGTGATCCCGACGATGCAGCTGACGATGACGGCGATGATGATGATGATGATGATGATGATGATGATGATGATGATGACGATGATGATGACGACGATGGCAATAGTCACGCTGATGTTGGTGATAGCCATTGCGCAGTTGATAACGTTGGGAACTGCGCGCCAACAGAAATTCAAGCATCCCGACATGAGCTCGACGCGCGCACGGAAACGTGCGCGTGGCCGGGATGGCATTGCTTGACAGAGTTGGTGTGAGCGCGATGGTGGTTGAACGGTTTCGACATGCACCCGCGAGCGGCAAAGATGGTCCGATTTGAGCGAATGATTTAAACCATGGTTTTCTTAAGATGTCAAGGGAACCGCGCGCAGAATTCTCGCAGCTTGCGTTGGAAAACCTGGGGCTGACCAGCCATGCCGTGAAATTGTTTCAACACATGGTTTGAAAGTCTTTTGACGTGCGCGCGGGGCGGCGCGCGCACGTGCCCCGTAGAACATATGGTGCAAGAGATTAATAACAAAAGCACACCATAGATCAACGCGTGTGCATCCCATATTCTCTTTTGCAAGACATGGGGGGGGAGTCGATACCGACATGGCTGGCATGGTGTGCTCTCATATGGAAACTGGAAGGTGAAGCAGAATCACATGTCATATTTCGAAAGGGAAGGCGGCCCCCAAGCTCGGGAGGATGGCAGGATCGATTCTTCGTTTGAAACGAGGATATGCGGGGGGCAATACATTCGTGAAGCCGTCATATCAACTGCTCATGTTAACAATTCACCCTCCCTCCCGCAATTCGGCGGCAAAGGTCATGTGACCATGCTGTCCAACGGATCACAGAAAAGTGGAACTCAACCACGCAGCCAAGTCCGTCTTCCTGGTTACTGATATGCGATTTGGCTTCCCCAGATCGTCCTGGCGGGCCCTCTGAAAAGCCCGCGCGGGACCTAAAACATGACGATTGTTTCGAGGATGGGATCCTTTCGGTTGAGAAAAAGGGTGCGGTGAAGAGTAAAGCGACAGTCTCAGACTTGAGGCCCAAAACCGTATTTGACGTCCCGCGGAATGAAGCTGGTTCTTCCACAGCACGGTGCTACTTGTCCTCCCCAAGATGTCCTGCCTGGCTTTGGGAGGGTGATTTCGTTTTCGCTGGTAAGAATACTTCACTCACCCTTGGCTGTGACAGAAGGTAGGCGATTTGGAGACCTCCGACCGTCTTCGAGGCGTGCGCCCAAAAGGC